GTACCGTTCGATATACACAGATAGTGCCGGGTTTTTTAACTAGCTTATAAGGAAAATCTCAATTATTTCAATCTCAAGTATTTTTAGATTTCTGATTTCAAATAAGAAGGAAGGTAATTCCATTTATGTTGTTAATGTTGTTTCTGAGAAAAGAACATTTTTGTAAATACAAACTAATATGAAAACTATTTTGGTGTTAAAAAATAGCTCAATTCGAATAAAACTTACATAATTTTACTTTTATTTTACTGTGTATAACCCCCTTCAAAGTTTTTTCAGTGTCACGCGCACACATACAGTGTACATACAATGCCACGGGAAAATCCACAGCGAGTACAGCAGACTTAATATCTAAAGCAATTTACAGTTATGAAAATAAGAGACATATCCGCAAAACGACAAGCACAGTGCGCCACCGCAACAACAACAACAACAGGAATAACAACAATAAGGAGCCGGCAGAAGACGAAGGACGACAGAAAGCGAGAAACTTCTGCTAACGAAGTAAGTACCCTAGAGGACACTTAAGCGTGCGACCCCCGGCCCAACTGACGTCGAGCATTATAATGCCGCCAACATTTTCAGAAATTACACACAAATGACAAAATAAAAGGTGCAAGGAGTCTGCAAAAGGACGGAAGTACAGGGGAAGTGACACGCACACTGTTACACCAAGCTCATGCTCATGCTCTCTCTCGCTCGGCGAGTGATTTCCGTATGGCGGCCATGTTGAAAGATTTGAGTGTTGAGTGCTTTCATTTATTGGCTGTAGAATCGGGGCGTGGCTTGTGATGGCTTTCCGTGAGCGGGAGAGCTGCCAATCGCTCAGAACGCTTGCGCAGTGAGTGGGAAAAGAGACAGAAGGGAAGCTGGATGGCTTGGCGGTGTGTGGGTGAAAGGGGGTGGAGCGCCAAGTTGCGGCTGGCAAAATGAGGGTTAAATCGCGTGCATAATTTAGCAGTTCATTTCATTCATTTGAGTGCAAGTGTTCAGAGATGTACGCTGGCTAAATGCTTTCATTCTGCTCCAGCTTCCGTTTCCGCTCTGACTCTCTTCTCTATATATATTTGTGAGCGTGTGGGTGGACGCTGGCGCACTGTCTACCGACGTTTACCGCTACAATGACAAGCGTTTATGGCAATTAACACTTTAGCTGTTTATATGCTGATGCCGCTGTTGTGGACACTTAATCGTGTCGGCCATTAGAGGTGGTGGATCCCCCCAAAAAATCCATTGACAATCATGCAAATCACGTTTCCCGGGTTTTTCACTTCTAGCTCCAGCAGGAGCCCACTTCCGTTTCCGTCTTTGCGTTCAGTGCAAATTCAATATCGTGCATAATTAATTTGCAATTAGCACGTTTCTGTTTTTGTTTTCATTCCACCAGCCTCGCGACACTTGCCCCTCTGAAATGGAAATTTTCTAATTACGTGCACAGGCTGAATGCAAACTAGTTTCCCGCTCCATCCGCTTTTCATCCGGCTGACTGCCCGCCGGCATTTCGATCGACTGCCCACGTGCGTCCACGGTCCACCATTGTCGATGGTCTCCGAAATGGGTTGGCATATGAAATGAGCTGCAAATTGATGGAGGAATTAGCGCAGCATATTTAATTCGTACTCGCAGAAACAACAACCACGGCGATGGGTCCTTGTTTGCCCAGCGGGTATGCCGACCAGTGAATGATGGGCTAATGGGCTTTTAGGTGCACATTTTTAATGCAGATTAGGCACACATTCGATTAGACGATGGCAAAGGAAAAACACAGCCTTGATCAATAATTTCTTTAAAGCGTTAAGTGATTTAATGTTAATTTCGGTTTTTTTAAACAGTTTTTGTAAAGAATCTCTGAACATGAATAATATTAAAATGTTCAATACTCAACATAAGTTGTCCTTTAAAACCTGAAGATGTCGACACTAGGACAATCCTAACCTAACGACCTAATAGGTACTTAAATTTCATTGTAAGTAAGTATTTAAGTAATATTTCTTGAATATCACAATTGACTATTGAAACATAAAACCAAATAAAATCTTCTTTCAGTTGAGCTTCTATAACTTCACAAAAGAAATCATAGTGAACGAGAACTTTGAGATATAAAATGGTTGCTTATATGTTTACTTCTGTTTATGTTATTAAAGTCAAAATGAAGTTGAAAAATGACTAAAATATATAATAATTAAATACATCAGATAGCTTATTTTGTGATGGAATTCAGTCTTTTTTTATTATACAAGGCAAAAATAAAAACTCGACATCAATAAAAATACATAAATTATGTCTTTTGATTGATGAATAATCTTTATCTATATGTTTTTCAATTGAATACTACATTTTTACAATGTGGTTTCCTTTGCACTTTTATTTTATTACAGATTTTATAAATTTATTAATGTGGGATTAGTTTATTGTATTAATTAATGTTTTGAACTGTATACCTTTATATATTGGACTTGAAACTTAAAAAAATTAACTTAAATAAAATTTGAGTTAGTTACTTGGGTTGATATAATTATGACTTGAATATGATATTCTAACAGCTCCTTACAATTAAAAGTACAATTTATCCTTCTTGAATTTCCATGACACGAAATTTACAAACGACACACCGAAACCCAATCCAATGATTTATTAAATGATAAAAGTATTTGACATCCAAACTATATGAGTTTAGACGGTCCACCCCCTTTCGACCAGTTTGAGAGCCCACCCCGGCTGGCTGACTAATTTATGTATTAACTTTGAACGCTCATTAGTTTAATTAGTCAAACAAATTAACGTGGGGCTTACGGCAAGTGGAGTGCAAACAACAAAATGGCCGAATAAACAGAGCGAGCGTGGGAAGTTCGGAGAGAGAAGTGTGTGCGGGCGGATAGGAACCATCTCCCTCGCACTTCATACAAATACAAAGGATACGGCTTAGGGCAGTGGTAAATTAAGGGAAATTATGTAAATAATTAAAAATAATGAAATGATCGCTTAATTCTGTCGATAACGGCGCTCTTGTGCCTTTAATTGCCTTTTGTCGCGAGGTCAGAGAATCATATTATCAGCTTATTGATTTCCCCCTTCCCATTGCGATCTGTGCAGTTTTTATTTGCCTTTTAATTAGTTGTAAATCTTGCACAGCCTGTTGAAACCCAACGAGAAAAGCGAACAGCAAAAGGGGCGAGAAAGCTGCCGCCATTGCATGCACTATTTATTTTAACAAGAGCTGCTCATTTAATACTTATTTTCACTAATTAAATGGAAGAGTAAGTACATCAGCCGGCAATGTGGTGCGAGAGTGAGCGGGAGAGCTGACCACATGCGACAGCAAAAGCAATTTTCCGCTTTTCCGCAGCGCAAAAAGTTTGATGTCTATGTAAACAGCGGCTTTCGTGTGTGCGTCTGGCGAACTGCCAATTTTCCTGGCCCACTCATACAGTCGCACGGGCTATATACACATGCTAACGTATTCCGTATACGTCGGCTGTTTGAGCGCACTTAAATAATGAATAATGACGAGACAAGCAATTAAAATAATTTGCGGTTTTACCGTGCGTATGCGCATCATTTAATTTTGCATGTAAAAGGATTTAAGCACTTATTACACAGCGAGAAACGGTATCAAGCGAAAGGATACCCTACTCGGAGGATGAGCAATCGAGTAAGATAATGCGCTGAGTGCAGGCTTGTGTACATATATACGGGTCCCAGCCATCAATGGACCAATTAAAACGAGTGCTAACTAATTAAAACGAAAAACGGCATAACAAGCTGCTCATTAAGCACGCAAGTTCCCTTCGCCCTGCTCTGCGGTTAATTATAGAAGGAAAAGACGAGCCGTGCTAACGAGTGGCGAAATAAAGCCAGTGGATATAAAGAAGCACTGGCACTCCAGATCCAGCTAACACCCAACTTTCCATCGTCGAAGTTCATTAGGCAGCACCCTGAGTCCATTTAACGATGTCACTTATACGCTCCATTGTCCCCTCGAACCAAAAAGCTCCAGAGCCGAGTGGCCTATCCCCCGTGAACCACCCATCACCCACCACCCGCGCTTCCCCTCGAAGGCCACTGCTGCGATGCGTATAAACCGCAAATTGGATGCGATATTAAATCGTCTGTGCCAAAGCGCATATAAATTGTTGTTCAATTTAAAAGAATTTTCTGAGAGAGAGCAAGCGCAAGGGACAGAGAGAAAAATGCCCAGATAGAGCGACAGAGAGAGGGCGATCAGAGGACTGTCCATCCCACTCAAACACTTTGAGTTTTACATGGGAAGTGTAACGACAATTATTTTCTTGTTCGTTTGACGAAAAATAAAAAGCTTAGCAAAAGTAAATAATCCAACTAATTAAAATCATAATTATGCCCACAAAAATGTTATAAATTTCAATTAAGCTGAAGAAAGCACTAAGCATTCATGCATAAATAACTAAGAGCAAACAAGGCGTACCATAAGCAAAAAACCCCAGACACCGGCCAAATTTAATACAGAAAAATTAAAAAAAAAAAAAAATTATAGGGCACAGGAATGTGGAAAAAGTTGAGATCCATTTCGCAAGCATCCGACCACATAAACAAATACATTTTGCGCTAAATAATTTGGCAATTACTCACATCCTCGGGAGGCAGAGACTGCCTGGTCTTTGTTCCCGTCGGGTGGCTATTACAGTTGAGTAAAGAACTATGTAAAACAGGATTCTCCAGGACTCGCCTCTCAGCGCCGAGGACGTCGGCTCTTGCTGTTGGTCCTGCCGCTGTGGCTTAGACCTGCAACAGACCATTACATTTGCTAACGAGTGGAAGGCAAATTAAATCATTAGATGCTGGTAAAGATTAGAGCCGCGGCGGGGAGGAGCCGATACACTCAAAGAACCACTCAGCGGTGGGCGTGGAGAATGCAGCACAGAAAGTCACTCAAAGCGAAAACCACCCCACCACCACTACCACCAGAACCACTGCCACCAGCAGCAGCAGCAGCAGCAGCATTTAGCAGTTGACTTGCCACAGGCACACATCTGTTGGATTACCAACTCGCAGCTCGGAAACTGAGAAGGCGGAAACAACCCTCATTACGCTTCTGACTCTTGAGCGCGTGAGTCGTCGCGCGCGGATTACGCCCAGGATAATCGGACGCCGGACGGCAGCAACGTCACAGCAGCAGCGGCCACATCGGATATTGGCAGATCCAGATTTAGTCGATTGGCTGCCCTCAAGGTGACAAGACACGCAACGCGCAGTGAACTCTCAGTGAATTGCCAGTGAACACCCAGTGAATTAAAGACAATATTCCTAAAGACTTAAACATGGTCATGCTGCAATCGCCGGCGCAAAAGGCCAGCGATATTGCATCATCCCAGCCCACCGCAGTCGCCGTCGGTGGCCTGATGAGTCCCAGTTCCAATCCCGACTCCCCCAAGTCGAACTCCTCGCCAAAATTGGCCACTATTGAGCCGGGTTCAGTGGCCGGAGGCGGAACCACTCCGCCAGCGGCCAAGATACCCAAGTTCATCATCAGTGCCAATGGCTCAGCGGTAGCGGCAAAACAGGAGCAGGAGCTGAGATGCTCCCTCGAACGGCTCAAGCAAATGAGCAGCGAGTCGGGCAGCCTGCTGAGCCGTTTGAGCCCCTTGCAGGAGGACTCTGCAGACAAGGACAAGCCCAATATCAACAACAACAGCAGTCTAACAAACCACAATACGAACAGCAATCCACGCCGCTCGCAAACTCCCCCAGCCTCGGGAGGATCTGTGACCTTCTCTTCACCTGCCCAGCAGCGAAAGCTCCTGGAACTGAATGCCGTGCGCCATTTGGCCCGGCCGGAGCCACTGCAGCATCCACATGCGGCATTGCTGCAGCAGCATCCGCACCTGCTGCAGAATCCACAGTTCCTGGCTGCCGCCCAGCAGCACATGCACCACCACCAGCACCACCAACATCATCCGCACCCACATCCGCATCCCCACCAGCATCCCCATCCACATCCGCATCCTGTCTCGGTCTTCCACTTGAGAGCGCCCAGCAGCAGCACCACTGCCCCGCCCTCGCCGGCCACCTCGCCCCTGTCGCCACCCACTTCCCCGGCCATGCAATCCGATCAGCAGTTGAGCCCACCCAACGATCCACCCCAGGATCCGGCACACTCCACACAGCAGCAACAGCAGCAGGACATGGATCTCGAGCGGATGAAGCTAGTAGCTGCGGTGGCAGCTCGCACAACACAAGCTCCCAGTACTTCCGCTTCGGCTTCCGCTTCCCATTCCGTGTCCAACGCCAGCACCTCCGCCTCCAACACCAGCTCCGGCTCGCCCAATGGCCGCGACCTCAGTGACTACGGTTTCCGAATACAGCTCGGCGGTCTGGCGGCAGCAGCGGCTGCGGCGGCGGCCACTTCCCGACAGATTGCGGCCGCCAATTACGCCCGGAGTGACACCAGCGAGGAGCTCAACGTTGACGGAAACGACGAGGACAGCAACGATGGATCGCACAGCACGCCATCGGTAAGGAAAATGAAGGACAATAATCCTCTTGTGGGATAGTAGATATATCTTTATCTATCCGCTATAGCGGAGATTAAACAGTGCTGGGCATAGATAATCTGTCTTGAATTTTTGACTTTCAAAAAGCTTAGTGATTATGCATTTTTTGTATCATAATTAGGGTTGTATTTTCATACAGAATCTTTAATACGTTTATTTTTTTTTAAATATGAATGCGGCATAACGAGTATCAATGAAATATATTTTTATCTTTAAAAGAGACTCAAAAGGCCGAAATTTCTGTATATGTTTTTATACCCGTTACTCGTAGAGTAAAAGGGTATATTGTATTCGTGCAAAAGTATGTAACACGTAGAAGGAAGCGTTTCCGACCCTATAAAGTATATATATTCTTGTTCAGAATCTCTAGCCGAGTCGATCTAGCCATGTCCGTCTGTCCGTCTGTCCGTCTGTCTGTCCGTATGAACGCTGAGATCTCGGAAACTATAAAAGCTAGAAGATTGGCATTTTGCATGTAGATTTTAGGAGTTCCTAAGCAGCGCAAGTTTATTTCAAAATGGTGCCACGCCCCCTCTGACGCCCACAAGCCACAAGCTGTGGCCACAGTTTTAATGCAATTATGAAAATTTTAATTGATATGTATTTGTTTCGTCAATACCTATCGATTGGCCTAATAAAAGTTTGCCACGCCCACTCTAACGCCCAAAAACCCATTAAACGCTTAAGCCTGGCTAGCGCCTACATTTCCGCCTTTCATGGCGCCATCTAACGGATGACTTTGGAACAGCTGGCCAAGGTGCTCAACGGAGTCAACGTTAATTCTCGATAAGGATTTCTATTAAAGGAAATTGCGATGGTTTTCATTTGTCAATACCGAACTATATCCCAAGAACTATGCAAATCAAATCAAGTTAGCCAAATTGGAGGTCTGAGTCAAACAATGGCGTATGTGTGTATGTATGTAAGCATATACATATGTATGTATTTACATTGTACACAGTTGCAATTGCATACTTATATTAAGTTGTTTAGCTGAGTAACGGGTATCTAATAGTCGAGGCACTCGACTATAGCGTTCTCTCTTGTTTTTAAAGGGAATATGAAGAAAAATGTTTAACAAAGGTATTACGCATTCATAAATGATTTTCCCTTCACACCAAACTATTCGGCAGCAACAAAAATCAAATACTTATAATTTTTAATGTTGCGGTATTCCGAACAATGATTGAGTTATCAAACTTCCAGAGTATCCCTTTAGGAGTTAAAAAAAAATGAACTGTTGGATTAACAGATTTGGATGTTGGAATATGTTGGCTATAATCCGTCCTCTATGAAACTATAAAAAAAATTAATTTTTGAAGGCCAAAAAATGTTTTTACTTTACTTCACCAACTCAAACTACAATGCATTTTCAAACTAAAAAAACATCCCATTCTTAAAATGTTCTATTTGTCGGTTAACTTAATTTAGCGGTTAAGCTCCATATTATATTCAACTGAATTGGCTGGAGTCAACGATCATCATTTAACCTACTTGGTTTCGTATCTAATATTATTTCTATTTTGTAATACGTTCCTTCTTTCCTAGTAGAACAAAGTGCTTGTCAAGTTTTATGTTGTCGTCACCGATCTAAGGATCATTTAATAAATATTTTACTTTAATAGCAATATCGAAAATCCTATTTTAAAGCTAAATAATATATGTTTAACTAATAACTGAACTTTTGAATACTTTATTTAAAGGAAATACCCGAATATTTAATATGAATAGTTTGTTTTTCTAAGCAAAGGAAGTTTTTGTAAATTCACTTTAAGATCAATATATGTTAGAAATATATTTATTGATATTACCTTACAGGTCTGTCCAGTAGATCTGACGCGATCCGTGAGTAGTAATCACACTGCGAATCCAAGCTCCGCCTCAACGAGTTCATCCAGTGAGCGAGACGCTGCTACAAAGCGATTGGCATTCTCCGTGGAGAACATCCTCGATCCAAACAAGTTTACAGGCAACAAGTTGCCAACTGGTCCTTTTGGCCATCCAAGGCAATGGAGCTACGAGAGGGACGAGGAAATGCAGGAGCGATTGGACGACGATCAGAGCGAGGATATGTCTGGTGAGTACTACTACTGGGTTCTCAACTCATCCCACCATCTGGGAGCTCTCACACGATTAATCGCATATAGCATTGATGGTAAACTGTCTGATATTATTGAAATCGTTGAAAATTCGTGAGACGCAGATAAACACGCTTCCTAAGCGACTCCTGGCATCACTCCGTGCTCAAATATACAGCCAATAAAAGGGGGAGGCAACGGGTAGAGCACCTGCAATCAGTTTGGCTTCTCTCCCTCACCCACATTCTGTGTTTTTTCTTTTGGACAGGATGACTGTGGGTGGTGGGAGGCCCATGTAATATTTATTCTTGCTTGTATCGTTTTTAGGTATGTTTCGATTTTGAATTTGCTTTTCTGTTTTCCCCTCAAAGCTGGAATATGCCATTTTTAAGGCCCTGGGATTTTTGCGTTGCCTTCTTTCTGGCGCAAGTCACGTAGGAACGAGTGGGCGTGTGCCTGGGTGATGTGTTTATGCTGGCCGTGAAAGCATTTATATTTTGGGTATATTCTATAGCAAACAAATGCGCAAATGCCAAAGCAACCAAAACAGGATCTCCGAATGGCCAAGCTTGCACTGTTCGTTTCTGAAACGCAAACTTGTTTAGACCAAAAAGCTGCACTCATATCCAATAAGGATTTTCAATAGAATTGCTTTTAATTGATTGATTGATGTTTTAATTGGGGAAAAGCCATTGCCATTTGGGAAGCTACGTTTCTCTTTCACTCTCTTTTTCTCTCTCCCAACTGTTTGTCTTGCTGCGGATCAGGTTTCGGTTTTCCAATGATTTTTTCGATGCTTTTTTCCTTTTCGGTGGCTGGCTAAAATTTTGCTGAAAATTAATTGATTTTCATGCTTGGCTTGCTGCAAAGAAATTGCTCAAATAAAAATTTGCAAATTTGATTGAAGTTGTTTCGGGCGGGGGGCATGGTGATTCCATCACTAAGCCTCTGGCCAAAGCTCCAAAAACAGGAAAAAGAAGTAAACGCTCATGGGTTTTATTGGTGATGGAGCTTAAGATTAAGTTCGGTGTGGTTTGTTTGAACGCTACTCATGATCTGATTATGAAAAGAGATAATTGAAAGGGGAAATGCTTTTAAGTTAATAGAAATCAAATTTTATTCCACCATTTTTCATAAAGGGTGAATACACAAAGTGCCCATTTTACCATATTTAGATGATAAAAAAGATTTTTTTTTTTAAAACCAAAATATAGATCTTTTTAATTGAGGAAACTAAAAAAAGGTGATTTTATATATAATCGAATAGTTATAATTATAATGATTAATTTAAATTTGACCGAAATTATCTTCAATAATATTATACAAAAATATTGTTGAAATCAATATGAATAAATTCAGGTATTAAACATTATAATGGTTATCAATTTGTATTCTTTTCTGTTATATAGAGAAGTTTTATTTAACGAAGTTCGTCTGTATTCGATCGGTTTTATTAATCCATTCTGTGTACTCTCTTTGAAGTTCTCGTATTTGTGTTTATTCAGGAATTAATGGTAAATTTAAATTGCCAATAATTAACCTGCTTTAAACTGCTGCACTCACACTATTTTTATGGGCAAATTCGTTAAGCGCTTATGTAGAAAATTATAGACACGGAAAATGCCACTTGCCAGCATGGCCATTCGCATCAACCTCATTATCATTATCAACGAAACATTATCGGCCATTGCTGGTTGCTGGTTGTCGGCTTTGCTGTTTGTGCATTTGTGTTTGTGTTAATAAAACACAATTAACGTCATCAATGGCGGGCAAGGGATGCGAACATAACTGCTAATAAAACCCTCTCAATGGCCCCGCCAACGACTACATGAAACAGAGTTGGGGTGTGGAGTCGAGTGAAATGAAGGCGGCCTGGCCGGGGAATCTGCGCCACGATAATGATGTAGGAAATAATTATGTTGTTGGCAGTTTACAGCAACCCCTAGGCCGGTTATACACACACAAACACTCGTATCGATGGAGAAAGACATATAGACAGACAGCCAAGTGCGAGTGCGAGTGCGTGAGCATCACGCATACGCACTGTTTGCCGGCTGGCATTCAACGATTGTTGGTTGGTGTTGCTGTAGTCATTAATTAGCAAGGTACTTAATTACCGCACATTCATTAGGCGCTTCAATGGCGCTGTCGCACACACACTCAGACGGACAGGCATACACCCCCACTTTATGACCTATTGGGAGGCGGTGTTAATGCCGCCGCTGCCGTCGCTTCGGTTCAGATTAGAGTAATTATGCGGCCCTTTGTCATTGCGACTAATTAGATTTTATGTTTCCAGCACACTCCTTTTCGGCCTTAACTTGACCGCTGCAGCTGGTTAATAATTCATAAATATTTCGCATACACCGAGGCTCGTTGCAATTCTCGAAGGCGCCGTTCATTTCGGTTTAGGCGCAGCAATTTGCATTTCATTTAAATTGCAAAACATAAAACTAACAACACGAACTAGGCACATTTGCAACAATAAAGCGGCATATTGTCTGCATAATCCAGATAGCCATGAAAGCAACTGAAATGCGCCCCAAAAGTCATATGAAAAAACAAGCGATAACCAAGTGTTGGGGGTGGTGAGGGGAAATCCGGGGCTGGCCGACATTTAAATGTGGGCGGAACGGAACGGATGGAGCACAAAAACAGGCGAAACCAACCCCCGAAAACCAAAATGTAAAATGGCTGCGAAAAACTTTTATTCTTTTTCAGCACTCAATTTGGCGCACTCTCTCGTTCGCTCTCCCCAGTTCGTTTGTATGGGTGAGCGGTCTCGGGGTAGTCCTGTCTGTCTGTGGGTGTGTGTAAAGACGAGCTCCATTTCGCCTCCTTTCAGTTGCCGTAAAGTCAAGTTAGGCGACAATATCCAGAGCCCGAGAGCTCGGCTCGTTTTTCGAGTATATCCGACCATCAGCAACTCATTTATTATTTTATGAAAATGGCAAAATGAGACGACAAATGCTCCCAGGGGTCGAATTGGCCAGGCGGATGCGATTACAATGATTGCCCCAGCACAAAGTATTTCAAATTTATAAGCCATTTCGGGCGGTCTCTGAGTGTGTGGGCTAAATTATGCGTCAGTCTGTGGTAATTAACACTCGGATTCCATAATTAAGTTTAAATTTTATGTTGTTATCTCAGCTACCCTCTGCCTCTCTTCCCCTTTAAAAATTCTACTGATCATGTGAGACTATCTCTGTCCCTTTCCGCCGTCATTTCATCAAAATTGCTTATGAAGTGCTTTCCCTATAATTATAATTAACAGCAGCCATTTTATTAATGGGAGACGCCAGACAGATATGACTTGTGGAATGATTTGAGCTTTAATGGGGATTTTGTTTTTTTTAGTGGTACTCTTCAGTTTGAATTTTAACGATAGATCTTGATATTAAAGGGAAATACATGTCAGATTACTCTACGCAAATATGCATAATCCTAACAGTTTAATTAAACGTTACTCACAGTCAGCTTAAATATTGATCTTGGTCCGACGGGTTTTGCTCTTTGCCCCTAATGCCAGACATTACGCATACGCCATGTTACAGTTGAATGGTCCGCGCAATTAGGCGTCCGCTCTCGTCCTGCAAAATTGTGGTTCCAGCGTTTATTAGCCAGCGCCAGGCTTTTCCACCTCTCTCCCTGACCATCTCAACAGCTCTTTGAACTTTTTGCGTTTGTTTGACACCGCATTAAGCGTCAGTCTGCCGATTCCTCCCCGTCGGTTTTCGGGGGCTGGTAATTCAATTGACTCAAACCAATTGTGGTCAGGGCCAGTCGTCGACCTAGCTTGATTCGGTTACATATTGATGGGCCTGCGGGTATCTAATGTGTCATTAATGCATATCAAAGTGCCTGCAAACACTCCACACCCGATTACCAGCGATAATGGCAGTGCCCACTCTGCGGCCATCGCAAAATTCGTTAAATATTAAATGAAGCGTTCACGTTAATTTTCGGTTTAATTGCCGGCCTGTCTGTGGTGCACTTTTAGGCGCACTTACCGCTCACCACAGTCCTTTTCTATTACATGCAAACACGGCCAATCATGTTGGCCAATTACCAGGACCAACGCGAGCATCCTTGACGGAGGGTTGGCACTTTTGGCGACCCTTTTTCGCCTGGCTGAATCGATTTCGCAGCTTTGAAAGGGGTTCACCGCAAAATTGCTTTTCGGTGGCTGAGAAAATTGTTAACAAGCAAAGTTTTTAACGGCTTACATTATTTAAATCGCAGTATTTGGATAACGTCTGCATAATATGAGAGAGAGTGGCAAAAGTATGTAGTCGAAACTTTAAACTGATGTTTCGGTGAAAAGGCACACCCCCAGTTAGAGTTGTCCAGTAGGCGAGCAGCCTTGATTGAATTTTGATTGTCGAATCATGACAATCAACGGAGCCAGACACTCCGTCCTTCTCTGGCTCACTTGGCGAGTTCCGGCGCTCACATGTGCGCCGAAAAATTCCAATTAAGCCAACAATGTTGCGGTGGCCGAGGTGATTGATTTCCATTTGCAATCCCCAGGACAGTGATATTTGCTGTGATGGATGGCCCGAGCCTGTTGACTCAAACAGGACATGCTGAATTTATCAACTCATATCCTCGCTTTTTCTCTGCAGCCCAGGACTTGAACGACATGGATCAGGATGACATGTGCGACGACGGCAGTGATATCGACGATCCCAGTAGCGAGACGGACTCGAAGAAGGGAGGCAGTCGCAACGGGGATGGAAAATCCGGCGGTGGTGGAGGCGGCGGTGGTTCAAAGCCCCGCAGAGCCCGCACCGCCTTCACCTACGAGCAGCTAGTTTCTCTGGAGAACAAGTTCAAGACAACCCGATATCTTAGCGTCTGTGAGCGGCTCAACTTGGCCCTTAGCTTAAGTCTGACGGAGACACAGGTGCGAAATGTTTTTAAAATACAGATTTAAAGGTCATGTCTGTACCTTTAGTTGTAAAACAAAAGTATTTCCTACCATACGGCCAACATCCAAATTATTTTAGGATCATACAATTTTTTTGAAACTGACAATCAAATGCTGATTTTTATTTTCATTAATAACAAGAAAAAAAAACTAACTTCGGGCGTAGCCGAAGTTGATATACCCTTGCAGAATATTCTGTAAATTATATTCTCCAAAACTACTCATATGATGCATTCTTAATACTCATAAAAATCCCAACTTCCTAACTTTAAAAACACCAAAGTTATGGCATTTCCAATCGTTCAGTTATATGGCAGCTATAGGATATAGTCGGCCGATCCTTATGAAATTTGGTAGGTCGGTTTGATTGGCCAAATAAAACCCATAGAAAATCCCAACTTCTTAACATAAAAAACACCAAAGTTATGGCATTTCCGATCAATCAGTTATATGGCGGCTATAGGATATAGTCGCCCGATCCGGCTCGTTCCGACTTATATACTACCTGCAATAGAAAGACAACTTTTGGGAAAGTTTCAAGCAGATAGCTTAAAAACTGAGGGACTAGTTTGCGTAGAAACGGACGGGCAGACGGACGGACAGACGGACATTGCTATATCGACTCCCCTATTGATCCTGGTCAAGAATATATATACTTTATAGGGTCGGAAATGTCTCCTTCACTGGGTTGCAAACTTTTGACTGAAATTATAATACCCTCTGCAAGGGTATAAAAAGGACTCGAGACTAGAAAAAAATTGCCAAATTGCCAATTCAAAAAAAAAAACCCATAGAAACTCCCATGTCCGCCTGTCCGTCTGTCCGTCTGTCCGTCAGTTTCAATACCTTTTGCGAGCTCAGTTTAAAAGCTAGCGATCTGAAACTTTCACAATCATCCTAAAACATGTGTACGCAAATCAAGTTTTAAAACCGCCCCGATCGGATGTCTTTATCCTATAGCTCCCATAAGACCAATCGGATAAACCTTGCAAGAATGGAAGATATTTCGCGCAGTGTAAAAGCTATGGACAAAAATCGTTCCAAATCTTTTTTTTATGCTTACCTTGAACAGGGTAAAAGCGCGTGGCGATCGGACGTCTATATCCTACAGCTCATATAGGAACAATAGGGTGGAATCGGTTAAGTTTTAATGATTTTTAGGATATTTTGCGCAGTATATAAGCTATTGACATGAATCTCTTCAAATCGTATTTTTTTATGCATATTTTAATAAGGGTAAAAGCACTTGCCGATCGAACGTCTATATACCTATAGCTTCCGTAGGAAAATTTGTTAAGTGCTGCGAAAAAATCTTTTCTATTTTTATACCCTTGCAGAGGGTATTATAATTTTGGTCAAAAGTGTGCAACGCAGTGAAGGAGACATCTCCGACCCTATAAAGTATATATATTCTTGATCAGGATCACCTCCTGAGTTGATATAGCCATGTCCGTCTGTCCATCTGTCTGTCCGTCTGTCTGTTTCTACGTAAACTAGTCTCTCAGTTTTAAAGATATCGAACTGAAACTTGCACACACCCTTCATTCCTTTGCACGCAGTATATATGTCGGAACGGGATCGGCTGACTATATCCTATAGCTGCCATATAACTGATTGATCGGAAATGCCATAACTTTGGTGTTTGTAAAGTTCGGAACCTGGGATTTTCTATGGGTTTTATTTTTGGCCAATCAATCCGACCTATCAAATTTCATAAGGATCGGCCGACTATATCCTATTGCTGCCATATAACTGAATGATTGGAAATGCCATAACTTTGGTGTTTTTAAAGTTAGGAAGTTGGGACTTTTTATGAGTATTAAGAATACATCATATGAATAATTTTGAAGAATATAATTTACAGAATATTCTGCAAGGGTATATCAACTTCGGCTCCGTCCGAAGTTAGCTTTCCTTTCTTGTTTAATTTTACTTAGTTTTAAATACAGTTATAACCCAAATTAATAAAACGACAACGTGCAAAAGTTTTTTAAAGCCCTAAGATATATTCTGCAATTTCTATAAAAATCAGCTGTTAAATTGCATAAATTCGTTTGCATATTAAATTAGATGAATACTTGATGAGTATATACTAACGCATATTTATAAGAGTAGTAGTATTGTAAGATCCTTGCTGTTGTTTTAAAGTATATTGGCCAAATATTTTTTAAATTCTATGGCTGTAATCTTGCTGATTATCGATTTTCCCTCGTGCACGTTTTCAAAAGTCAAGTCTTAATGTCAACCGGAATGAAATACAATTTTTTCATAACACTTCCTTTCCAATTTGCAGGTTAAAATCTGGTTCCAGAACCGTCGTACCAAGTGGAAGAAGCAGAACCCCGGGATGGACGTGAACTCCCCCACCATTCCCCCGCCCGGCGGCGGTTCCTTTGGACCGGGGGCGTATGCCAGCGGACTTCTCTACTCGCACGCGGTGCCCTATCCGCCCTACGGACCCTACTTCCACCCCCTGGGCGCCCACCACCTCAGCCACTCGCACTCATAAAATTGCAAGATGCAACAGCGATTGTTGCAACTGTTCGAAAAGCGAGGCAGGTCGGAAGTGGTCGGAACAGGACCTGCGGCCGGAAGTGGACCAATGGCTCCCAAGGATAAACTGTAAATGTCAAGCTGCTTTAAGTGTGTGTTTAGTATTCGGTCCGAGATTTCCTTTGTTATTTTCCTCGATTACGTGCTGTATATAGTTCTTGTATAAATATGCTACGCTAGTGCTTAGAACCCCGAATGCCATATCTAGAATTAAATTATACAATTACTTGTAGCGTTTAAGTGGCAAGCAAAATCAAAAAGAGCAAACCAAAAATTGCATATATGTCAAGTGAAAAATAAACATTTTAAAAACTACCCAGAGCGGATTTTTACTCGTATATCGGAACGAATTTGGGGTGGCGAGGCCAATAAGCAATGTATCGTCAGAAATGGCAGGACAACAATGCTAAGTCAAGTGTAAAATTTTAAATTTGCTTCTCATTCGCCATCAGGGGCTCAAGCACTCACACCCGGCCACTCAATTATGAGGCAAACGGATGTGAATACGAAATTCTTAATCCGCTTTGGGTGACACAATGCTCCTGGCGGCCGTCGGCTGGCTGCCGACCATATCTTTCTGTTCCCGTGAAGTCGGGCGGCGAGAGGTTGTCAAAACAGTGACAAGCAAATGAATAAATTCACGCGCTCACACCTCCGGCTCATTGATATTATAATCGCCTCAGCGAGTGTGTGAGAGGGCCAAGATGCGTATAATTGAAACAGAAATCGAGAAATCCATGCATGACCGCCCATTGGGCCCGATGCGGATTGACTGCGTCTGCCGTTGACAGCGGTGACCAAAAGTAAGCAAGCGAGTGGGTCCGGGAAAATCCCATTATATCTATTACGCCAGGACCCACTCTGTTTTTTGTGCGGGTGCAAACCGAATTATTTCTCTTTTTTTGAAACCGGATTTCTTTTATTTTCACTTTAATAATTTATTAACAATTTTTTACATTTGTTTAAAGCTTTGCTTAAGTACTTTGCAATTAGTCGCACAAATCCTGTTTGCACCACACAGCCACACATGCATGTATATGTAGGGAAGCACGCTCGTGTGGTGGTGTGCGTTAATTTCTGTAAATGTAAGTCGCTAAATTATTCAACTGCAGACATGTGAGCAAATTCAAACAGCAGAGTAACGAGCGAGTGAGAGCTTGTTTAATTTGCATAAAATTAAATGCTAATTTTAGTAGCACACACTTCGCCACGAAAAGTTTTGACGCAGGAGACAAAAGAAGAGATTAAAACGGGACCCGATTTGAAATGGTTATGTAAATTCTCTTGATTTTTCTAAAATTAGATTATAAAGGTTATTCTTGAAAATAATTTATCCAAAAAGTTATTTTCTTGTAAGATCAAGATCAGGTAGTATATAAGTCAAAACGAGCCAGATCGGGCGACTATATCATAGACATGGCTAGATCGACTCTCCTGGTGATGCTGATCAAGAATATATATTCTTTACGGGGTCAGAAATGTCTCCTTCACTGCGTTGCAAGTTTTGACTGAAATTATAATACCCTCTGCAAGGGTATAAAAAAAAGATTACTATGTTGTTTTAAATTTTTTTTATCGAATAACGGTTTTAATAAAATTAAAATCGGACACCTATATCATACAGCTCACATCAGAAAATAGAAATATTAAAATAAATAAAAATGAAAACAACTTTATTTTGTTGTTTTTCTATTTATCAAATTATTCCTTTCAGATATAGTAATTATTTACTATATCAGAATTACGCTTTTAGTTTTGTCAAAATCGGACAGCAATATCATATATGTACCTGCCATAGAAACGATGGCAAAATGCAGCGCAAAATCGACATAGCTTCATTGTTTTTAGTAATATAGGCATAGAAATCGAAATATAGTCGATTTGTTACAACTGCAAGGGTAATATAGGCAAGGAAATCGTAGTGTAGTCGTTTTGCAATAATTGCAAGGGTATATAAACTTTGGCTTGCCGAAGTTTGCTTCCTTTCGCGCTACTCATGGGTATCCCTAGCATCTGCATGTTTAATTCTGTAGCATTGTAGACGTCGAGAACTCGGTGTTAATACAAACAGATAGATATGTCTAAAACAACTCGGCTGATAGCATTAAACAAGAGTAAATATACATTGTAGAGTCGGAATCGTGTTTTACAATAAAGTAGTGGTAATAACTAACCTAACTAAGAACCTCATATATGTTACGTCTTCAAAGCGAGTAGCTTAAGAGCAGTTATTGGGTTCTGTTTTCAGCTTACCGTTCGTACTTAAAATAGTCTGGTTTATATTTCTAGTGATTATGAATAGTTTTGTGCAAGAATGATTGAAGCTGTTGAACATTTATATATTTTTAGTTTAAATTTAAACATATAACAGACGATCAGTGTTGAAGAATGCATTTATAATTTAGCTCTTTTAAAATAAGAATTTTTGTAATTGGCAACGCCGACAGAAGAGGCGACCACTTGCGAAATAAAGTGTCTATGTGAACGACGTACAAATCTGAGACGCGCATTTTAAATTTGGTCTTTCGATCGGATATTAATAATACAACTTCAGGTAAACCCTCAACATGGTCTTTCGATCGGATATTAATAATACAACTTTAGGTAAACCCTCAACATGGTCCTTCGATGTCAACTGAACAGCAAATGGATTGAAAAATAGTTTTCGCAACCTCAGTTTTCGCTTCCTCATAACTTCACATACACGCTCACATAGACGACGACTTGAGTTGTGTGTGTGTATTCGCGAAAGCTTGCAATATATCGTAATATTGTGAAATTCGGAATCTACGACGCAATAAATGATTTCTCTACGATCTCTGTGAGGTGAAAACAAGACGCAGACAGCAATCATGGCACCAACAGGACATAAAAAGAAATCGCAAGGAAATCAACAACAAAAAACTTCAAACACAAAACAAATTAAAGCGGATAGACCTGACGACACACCGCGACCCGATCTTTCGACCACAAGGGACACAATTCTAGAAAATCGCAACCAAACACTGGTTGCATCTACACCGGCGATTATAAACGCAGTGAATGAATCCGTACATCCGCATGGAAACCGCATACACTTCGGAGGAAGTCAATCCTCCCGCAGTTCAGCCAAGGTGCAACGACTTCAGGTACAGCTTGAGTACTCTAAGAAACAACAGGAGCTACGTGATCAACTGGCAAAACAGGAACAAGAGCGAGCACGGCTACAATTTCAACAGGAACAATTGGATCTCGAGCAGCAATTATATTTGGCCCAATTGGGATCCGATGCAGGCAGCCAAATAGATGACAATAATCTGGACAATCTGGAACAATATGACAACGACAACAAAGATTTCCGTACGCGTGAGTGGGTCAATGGAGCTCAACGTAAGCTTAAGTTTCAAAACGATACTATGTCTGAAAACAAATTATCTAACCATAACGATATCGAAACATTCATGGCCAGGCAGACGATCAAACAAGATCTTCCATCGTTTTCAGGGGACCCATTAGAGTGGCCCATATTCTATGCAGAGTTTGAAAATAGTACTAAAATTTGTAATTTCAATGACTATGAAAACTTAAGTAGACTCAGAAAAGCTTTAGGAGGACGTGCCAAAGAATGTGTTCAGGCACTTTTAATTTTACCAGAAAATGTCGAAACCATTATTGAAATCCTTAAAGAGCGTTTTGGAGACCAATGTTACATAATAAGATTGCTCCTTGACAAAATCAAACAGTTCCCAGTTATTAGAGACGACAAATACGACAAACTTTTTGCATTCTATGACATAATCACCAATCTGGTTCACACTTTGCTGAATATCGGTGATATAGATCAAATACGAAACCCTTTAATTTTCGATGAGATTTTAGACAAGCTTCCCATGCATCAACGTATTGCCTTCGTAAAATACTATCAAAAGTTAAAAGAAAAAAATTGACCCAAAAATAATCATTTTTCATTCGTGGCTAGGTGAGACTATCAAAGCTGCCACCACTTTAGGATTTGGCCACATTATCAGCAAGTCTAGAGACACCACTTTGACGGTTTCGGGTATTCGGGATGGCACAGGCAAAGCTCAGGTGAAAGGTTTTTGCAATTTTTGCAAACTGACTGATCACTACGTGAATACTTGCACTAAATTTAAAGATTTAAATGTTGACAAACGCTGGGAGCATGTAACTCAAAATAACCTGTGTATTTCGTGCCTTGGTAAAAACCATTTACTTAAAGACTGCAATCGTAAAAGGCAATGTAACAGAAATAATTGTAGTTACAGTCATAATAGTCTTCTACATAAAGACAAATCTCAAAACATACAATCAGGCAAGTCTGAGGGTAGTGAACAGACAGTCTCAAGTAACACAGAAAAGAATTGCAACGTTAACTGGAATACAAACAAAGTTTTGTTAAAAGTGGTACATGTCACTCTTATGGGACCACAAAATACGATTGAAACATATGCTCTTCTTGATGAAGCATCCACCATTTCCTTAGTTGATGAAAAGTTAGCTAACGATTTAGGTCTTGACGGTCCAACAAAGCCTTTGAAAATGCAATGGACTAACAATGAAACATATGAACAAGATAACTCTAAAGTAGTCAGCGTACGCATCAAAGGCAGTGGTTCTAATACTAAGACACACACGATGAGAAGGGTAAGGACTGTTTCTAGTCTCAATTTGCCGCTGCAAACCTTAAACATAGACGACATGACAGACAACTTTCAGTTTTTAAAGAACTTTACCCATTGCTCTTACGATCGGGCACATCCTAGAATTCTAATAGGACAAGACAACTGGTCTCTTATTGTATCACGCAAGTTGAAGTACGAATCCTTTGACGGTCCGGTTGCTAGCAGCACATGGTTAGGTTGGGTCGTGCATGGTTTAACACAACCTGAAAGACAGTCGAACGAGACAAATCATACACTACATGTAACCAACCATTTTACAGAAACTGACGATTTGGATGAGCTTCATAACCTAGTAAAGTCTTACTGGTCAATCGAAAACGAACTCTCAACTCAAAAAGACTTTCCAATGTCTGTAGACGACAAAAGATGCATAAGTATTGTTGACAATACTTTAAAGCGAGTAGGTGACAGGTTTGAGTGCGGACTTTTCTGGAAAAAAGATAACCTACAGCTTCCTGAAAGCTATAATAACGCTATGTCTAGGTTACTATCATGCGAACGTAAAATTGACAAGAATCCCGACTAAGGACAAAAATATTCCGAAGTAATGGAATCTTATATTTCAAAAGGGTATTTAAAAAAGCTAAGCTC